CAATTTCTACTCACATCGACCCTGAATAGGGCTTTCTGAAGCTTTGAATCTTTATGGGAGCAGAAAGCCTCATCCTTCTCTGGCTAGTAGGCTCAAACTACCGACCTTGTGGTTCACATTCTGTGCTTATCCTACAGGCATCATGCTACCAAATTCCATTGTTATTGTTTAGTGCCACCCGGTCAGTTCAGACTCATGTGGCCCTGCATAGGGTTTCCAAGAAGCAGCTGGTGGATTGACCCAACCTTGTAGTTCAAATGAAACTTGTGGTCCAGTCCCTGTCCTACAGTGCCACACCAGGAGTCCCAAGTCCCATCAAAGCACTATAAATTAAATAATTTAAATTGTAGTGAAAAATTTTGTAGTAATAATAAATATCATTTCAGCCTTTAGTTTTTATACAGAATTTTTTCCCCTTTCAGTCTATTCCCCTTAGAACACAGAATGAGTTGATTTATAAAAGGGAGTTTTTCCAAGTATGGTGCCAACTGAGCACAAAATTACTCTTTACCAACCATCTCTGAATAAAGTAACTGTTGGACAGTACAGTTTTATTAATAGACTATAAACATCTATTTCAGCATAGTAGAGCTTTGTTGAAATGAGACTGACTATCTGTCCTAAATACATCATCAACATGAAGCAGAATATAAATTGTTCAAGTGCAATTAATTCATAAAACTATGTTTAAAGGCCCAAAAGAAGATTTAACACTTTAACATGCACTTCTAGTAGTAAGGAATGAACTATATTTGCATAAAACTGAATGAAAAATATTTAATTAACTGACTCTTTATACATGTTTGACTTTTAGCAATTTGCAGTTAAGTTCAATGTTTTATTACATTTATTAGCTGAGGTAAAGAGTAAGTTTAGTAAATAACAAAATGTACCACACTTGGATAAATAGTAGTATGCAATACAGTGGAAATAATGAAGCAACAGGCATAATATAGTCATTTTCATGCTAAATAAAATTGTATTTAGTGACTTAGTAGCCTTTGAGCTAAAAGGAAAACTTTACTTTTAAAAGTTTTGCTATTTTTATAGTATTAGTCAAGTATGTTTTTGTTTTATTTCTAACCCCTTTTGTAAATGCAGAAAATTTGGTCTCTAAGGAATGGTGAAGAATATTTCCTGCTACTGAAATTTAATTGTGAATTGGCATTGCAGTATCATACCAAACTAGTATGATAGAAAATATTTTAGGATCCTTATAATGTATGATTCTGCATTGGCTAGTAATTATGTTTATGAAGTTATCATTATCTACAATTCACTTTTAAATTTATCAAGCTTCCTAATGTTTTATAGATGTTAATAGAAATTAGTGTGATTTCATATAATGTCTTTGAAGTAAATAAGAGGTCATTTTTACAACTAACATAAAGAGAACGTAAATATGGGTTCAGTGATTGTATAGAGACAGAGTGAGTCAGTTAGGAAAGCTGCTAGAAAGTCTGAGAGATCTAGAGAGCTTCCTTTTGATCCACTTCCTATAGTTCTCAGCAATGTAACATAATCTTTAGAAGATTGTTTTCTCAAACCTACTGAGAAAATCTTAATCTCCACAATATCATAGAATAGGTGGTGAAAAGAACCTCAGAGTGGATACCTGACTGCATCAGATAATTCATAAAATTAGATGTTAGACGTTGTGCATTTCCTGCTCTGTGAGCCAGGTGTCAGATGCCCAGGGCCACCAGTAGTGTTCTCAAACCTGGCTGAATGCTAGAATCTCTGGGTATCTTTCAATAAACAGCGCTGCCTAAAACATGCCTGACAGTCCCTGAGGGTGGGACTTTTAAAATCTTTGCCTGAGCAGAAAGTCTCATCTCTTTTATTTTGTTATTAATTTATTTACTCTTTAAAAAAAAAAAAAAATGCGATCTCAAGATTACATAGCTAGTAAGTATTGGCCTGGATCCATCCCCTTCACATTTAAACATTATGCTAACCACCTCTCCATGACTGACTAGATGAAGTTGGTGTGGACAATGTTTTGAAAACCAAGTGCTATGCAAATATATTGTTAGCGCTAGTTGCTTTAGTGGCTCTGTGTGTGGGTTAGGCGTTTGACTGCTACATGATAAGCAGTTAAAGCCCACAAACCACTCCTCAGGAGAAGGATGAAACTTTCTGTTCCTGTAAAGATTTTTTTTGTTGTTGTTGCTAGGTGCCATTGAGTCAGTACCAACTCATAGCGACCTTATTCACAGAAGAACGAAACATTGCGTGATCCTGGGCCAACCTCACTACTGTTGCCACGCTTGAGTCCATCCATGCTGCCACTTGGCCAATCCATCTCATTGGAGGTCCACCTCTTTTTTTCTGACTCTCCACCTTATCAAACATGATATCCTTCTCCAGCGACTGGTCCCTCCTGACAATATGTTGAAAGTATGAGAGACGAAGTTTGGCCATTTTGGCTTCCAAGGAGCACTCTGGCTGCACTTCTTCCAAAACGGATTTATTGGTTCTTTTTGCAGCCCATGGCACTTTCAGTATTCTCCTCCAACACCATAACTCAAAAGCATCAATTCTTCTGTGGTCTTCCTTATTCACTGTCCAGCTTTCACATGCATGTGAGGTTATTGAAAATAGCATGGCTTGGGTCAGGCACACCTTAGTCCTCAAGCTGACATCTTTGCTCTTCAACATTTTAAAAAGTTCTTGTGCAGCAGATTTGTCTAATGCAATACATCATCTGATTTCTTGACTGCTGCTTCCATGAGTGTTGATAGTTGATCCAAGAAAAATGAAGTCCTTGGCAACTTCAATCTTTTCTCCATTCATAAGAATGTTATTTATTGATCCAGTGGTGAGAATTTTTGTTTTCTTTACATTGAGGTGCAATCCACATACCAAAGGCTGTGCTCTTTGATCTTTATCAGTAAATGTTTTAAGTCCTCTTCACTTTCAGCAAGCAAGGTTGTATCATCTGCATATCACAGGTTGTTAATGAGTCTCCCTCCAATCCTGATGCCACATTTTTCTTCATATAACCCAGTTTCTTGGATTATTTGCTCAGCATACAGGTTGAATAAGTATGGTGAATGAATACAACCTTGTTGCACACCTTTCCTAATTTTAGAACATTCAGTGGTCCCATGTTCTATTCGAACAACTGCCTCTTGGTCCAGGTACAGATTCCTCATGAGCACAGTTAAGTGTTCTGGAATACTCATACTTCACAATGTTGTCCATAGCTTGTCATGATCCTCACAATTGAAAGCCTCTGTATAGTCAGTAAAGCACAGGTAAACATCTTTCTGATATTCTCTGCTTTCAGCCAAGATCCATCAGACATCAGCAATGATATCCCTCGTTCCACGGCCTCTTCTGAATCTGGCTTGAACCTCTGGTAGTTCTCTGCTTCCATCCATTTCTGTATTACCTTTAGCAAAACTTTACTCGCATGGGATGTCAAAGAGATTTAAGGTCACTATGAGTTGCAATTTACTCAATGGCAGCGGGTTTAATTTGTTTTGGGGACTTGCATGTAAGTCTCTTCCACTAGTTTTCTTACATTATCTCTGTATACCTAGCATCTAGCTTATAATGTGCATCTAAAGAATATGTATGGCATTAAAAAAAGAAAGAAAATACAGACTTACATTGAGTTAAAATTGAAGACTTTCTTTCTGCACATATGTATATTTTGTATGAACCAAATAATCTCAAATAGCCTGTGATAATGCCATTCCTACCAACCGTCAGCCTTGTTGTTTTTGTTGTTAAGTGCCGTTGAGTTGGTTCCGACCCATGACAACCCTGTATAGGTTTCTGAGGAGAAGCTGGTGAGCTTGAACCACCAATCTTGCAGTTCAAACGGCTTTGCAGTCTGGCACATTAACCAACAGCGCCACACCATCAGGCTTAGAGACATAAAATTCATTTTCTCTCTTTTTCATTTTAAAAATAAAATTTAATGGAGAAAATGTTATTTTATTGTTATTTTACATTTGTATCTGTATAGCTTCGGTATGGAGTTATTATGATATGGCGCTGTGGGATAATGCACTGGACCACAAGGTCAGTGGTTTAAACCCACCAGTTGCTCCTTTGAAACCCTATAAAGCATCACTATTAGTTGGAACCGACTCGGTGACACTAAACAACAACAAGGGTATATTATTATAACAAATTCTTTCCAAGTTTCTGAAATAATCGTACATTTGTTGTTGCTGTTGTTAGGTGCCATTAAGTTTGTACCGACTCCTAGCAACATTATGCACAGTGGAATGAAACACTGCCCAATCCTGGAATTTATATGTGTTTAATTTAAGTAAACTATATTCAAAACAAATACTTTGGGCATGAAATTTATTAGTAAGAAAATTATTCATCTTAAGGAAAAATATATTACTTTCCAATTGATAATTTTAAATAATTTTAAACTCATAAATTGTGATTAGTGAACTATACACACAACAAATGATAAGATATATTTATATTTTCTATGTTAACAAATGTTCAGTTTACAATGCTAGGTAAATGCAAGATAATGCAGAACGAAGCATGTGTGTACAATCGTGTTTTTAAACGTATAAAATCATATATACCTCAGTAATGTTGTTGCTTAGTACCATCAAGTCGGTTCCAACTCAGAGCAACCAAGGACTGGCTAGTGGGTATGACCTGCTTACATTTCAGTTAGAAGTCCAGTGCTTATCCTACAGTACTACCCAACTCCATCCCTTCATAATGTTGTTGTTAAGTTCTGTCAAGTCAGTTCTGACTCATGATGACCTTATATAGGGTTTCTGAGGAGTGACTGGTGGTTTTGAACCGCTGACCTTGAGGTTCACACTAACCTTGTGGTCCAGTGCATTATCCTGCAGTGCCACACCAGGACTCTTGCCTTCATAGTACACTAATTTTATTTTTTATAGTTTCTTGGTGTGTTTTTTCCTGAATAATTACAGTGGTACACAGAAAGTGAATGTTCTCCACATCGTTTTCTACATAGTAAAATAGCTATATATTTTTTTTTAAAGGAAATTTACCAGTGGTGTGGTTCTTCATGTAACAAATACGAACGTGTGAAGGCAAGCCAGGTTGCCATTGGCATTCGGGACAATGAAAGGAATGGAAGATCTCAACTTATTGTTGTAGAAGAAGGAAGTGAACCATCAGAACTTTTAAAGGTATTGTGACGTGTGTTTGTTTGTTTTAAAGGCTTACCACTGTAGGCCATGTCTGCCTGTGTCTGTTATTGCTGTTGTAGTGTGCCATTGGGTCATATCACTTCATAGTCTGTAATCTTTATAGGAGCATGTTGTCAGACACTTTCTTTCCAAGAGTGGCTGCTGTGTTTAAACCTCTGACCTTTAAGTTTGATGCAGCGCACTTAACTGCTGCATAACCAGGGCTCCTTTCTGTATCTACACATGAAAGCATGTAAGTCAGAAAGTATTGATACAAGTTCATAGACATTTTATTAAGCAAAATTCAAAATGTGAAGCTATTATTTCTTGATATATCTTTCTATATGCTTCTAAAGATGATGTTTCCATCTCTCTAACACTTCCCTGGTGTGGCATTGTAGGATAAGCACTGGGTTGCAAGGTCGGTTTGAATCGCAAGGTTGGTAGTTCAAATTCACCACCCACTCCTTGGAAACCCTATAATGAATTGCTATAAGTTGAAAATGACTCAACAGCCATTAACAACAACAACAACAACACTTCCCTGAAGAATTCAGGCTTCTTTTGTTTATATCACATCAACACAGTAATTTTGGCATCTTCAAGGGACTCTCATCATGTTCCTTTGAAATATTTTTAAAGTTGTGGGAACAAAAAGAAGTTTGAAAGGGCAACATCAGCGATGTACGGTAGTTGTGGTAAAATGTCCCAGTGACATCCTACCCTGGAAGAATGAGCAGGTGCAGTGTTGTAATGTAAAAAAAAAATTGGTACAAATTTCCTGGCCTTTTTCTCATCAATGCAGTTTTCAATTTTCTTAACATTTTGCATAATAAGCTCCCATGATTATCCTGTAACCTGTGAATAAAAATCTATCAAGTTTATCCCTTTGGAATCCCCCCAAAAAAGTTGCAATAACCTTCTACCTTGAATTTATCTGATCCAGCAGATCTACTCCAAAATCACTTCTTTAGAAGGCACTCTAAGAAACTAAGAAAAGTGTGTTACTGAGAGACCTTGTTTACCGTCATCCACTAATTGCAGAGACATGTTTAAATATGTTTTTGTTTGGAATAAATCCATGCATATATTAACTGGAACTCTAGTATCAAAACTTTTGGGCTTACCCATATATATGTACATATACATATATAGAGATATATTCCTATGTTTAAGAAGGTATTGTGTACATTGGTATATTTAATCCCTTCATATGCACGTGAAAGAAAGTTGTACAGTAAATAAGGAAGCTTATAGGAAAGTAGAAAGTCTTGATTGTTTTCACTTCCCATTAGTGTGACTATCAGAGGAAGTCCTGTACCTATCTTCTATGGTATATGAAGGCCAACAGATAGACAGTACTTTGAAATTGGCTATAGGAACATATTTTGGAAAGAAGATAATAGTTTATTAAGTGAGTTCCTCAGGGTTTGTTTTTGCAGAAACTATAGTCATTTTATTTGATTTTATAATTAACAATTAATTACTTCATTAAAAGAATGAGCTAAAACTGCAACAGGAGATTAAATACATCAGTATTTAAAATACTTAAATCATTTTCAGTACAGAATTATAGGGAAGACACTTAGGATTTCAGTATATTTGCTAAATCAATCTGAAAATTAAGTCTTCATGGCTCCATGCATCTACTGTACTTGCTTAACCATTTAGTTGAGACTGGTTTTCCCCTTTTAAGTAAACATCAATGAATACTTTAGTGCATATTTTTAGTTTGATTAGAAAATATTTCCTTTGTATACATTCTCTTAAAAACCAGTTGCCATCATCCCCAGCCATGGTCCATTCAGGTACTTCATGTTCATGTGGAAGAAAGTTGGCCCAATGATTAAGAAAGACCAAAGAAAAATCGATGCCTTTGAATTATGGTGTTGATGAATATTAAATGTACCATGGACTGCCAGAAAAATTAACAAATCTAAGGAACAGTCCCTGAAGAATGCCATTATGTTTGGTAGAGAGTTAATAAAGAAGAGGAAGGAAGATTCTCAACAAGATGGATTGATACAGTGTCTGGAACAATGGGCTCTGACATAGCAGTAATTGTGAGGATGGGACAGAACTGGGTTTTGTTCCATTTTGGTGTGTACATAGGGTCATATGAATCAGAACTAACTAGATAGCACCTAACAGCAACTACATAATTCCCTTAAGTAAGATTATCAAGGGATATGATTATATTCAAGTGTCTTGATACATGTTGGTACATTGATTCCTACAAATTTGTTGAACAAATATTTATTAAACTCTTGCATTGTGCCAGGCACTAAATGTTTGACCAATTCATAGCTTTCCACACAAGAACTGTCTTGGATCCAGAGCCCTGTCAGGATTTACCATTGTAATAACTTTTTGAGTATTCACGCATTTAATTGTGGCAGATAATATCTTTTTGAATTCTCATTGCTCTGATTTACCCAGATATTTTTCTATTGATGATTTTGTCATTCATACCAGAGAGTTTCAAAAAGTTCATGGGAAAATGGAACTTTTCCGGTAAATTTTTGAAGCTCCCTTATTTTTAATTTTTGTAAATATTTTTAAAGTATCATCTTGTAAACATTTTAAAAGTATTCTTTGTTTGTTGGGGGTGGGGGTTGTGAGCATTGTTGAGTTGGTTCCAACCCACAGTGACCCTGTATTGTATAGGGTTTTTGAGGAGCAGCTGGTGACCTTGAAACACCAATCCTGCAGTTCAAACCAACTTTGAAGTCTAGCACATTAACCCACAGCCCACACCAGAACAAATTCATTAACACTACATAATCCAACGGTTAAAAATGAGATCGTTTATATTAAATTGTAATGCCACTAATCGAAATTACTTTAAAAACCACCAAGCACAGATTTTTTACACATTGAAAATGTGATAGTGTTTTGGAAACTATTTTAATTCATTAGGAAAAATGTTCATGATATAATGGTAAGAGAAAAAAACAAAATATAAAATTGTTTAAATAATATGATCTTGATATAGAATTTTGTATACACTAGCCATATAGTCACACATATATACTTGCATAAACTGAAGTTATTCGAGTATTTATCCTTGATTCTTGAGAATATGGCTGCTTGTTATTTTCTACATTGTTTTTTCAAAAGTTATTATAATAGACACATCCTTGTCGTGCTGTGGTGGTTTTGAGTTGCTGTGATTCTGAGGGCTATGCCACCGGTGTTTTGAATAACCAGCAGGGTCACCCATGGTGGAAAGGTTTCAGATGAGCTACAAAACAAAGACAGACTAGGAAGAAAGAGTGACAAACTACTT